CCACAAATGGGTACAGACTTTCCAGGAACCAGGTGACCACAGAACAGGGTCCTGGCGTCCAGACTAGCGGGGAGCATGCCCCCGGCACCTTGGGTACGAGGCGAGAGGCTGCCGGAAGTTCAGATGGTCAGGTGTGTCTCCAGGTATCCGCAGGAGTGGGGAAAAGATGCTCTGACAGCAGGTGTGCCCCGATGAATAGATACCGCAAGAGAAGGTGAATGGGGCCCCAAAGGTGCAGAGGAACCAGGTCCCGGCCAGCAGGGTCCCAGAGGCCCTTGGGAGAGGCAGTCAAAGCGGGGAGGGTGCAAGCGGCCCCAGGAGGGACCCTGAGGCCTGGGTCACGGAGAACCCCAGGTCTCTGACTTGAGTGCTGGTGAATGGATTATACACTACACGTGCAGCCAGACGATGGGGTATGTGTTCCCCCAGTCTCCAGGTGGATGGGGTATAATTCACGCAGATACTCCAAGAAGAGGGATTTGCATCCCATGGAGATCCAGACTCACAGCCACCAGGCAGACCTTCGGAAGATGGAGAGAAGCTCAGGGAACCAGCACTGCGATGCCGACACTCAGAGGAGGGTGATCACACGGGTGACAGGGCGCAGGCTCCTCAGAAGTTCACATGATGTGTACAGGTCCCCCAACACTCCAACGATGGGGTACAGGTGCTCGGATGAAGAGGGTACGGTGAGCCTGAATCAAGGATGACTGGGGCACGCACAGGCTGGGACCCGGTGAGTGGGCATGGGGTGCCCCAGTCCTCGGAGACTGTGGCAAGCCGAGCGCCCTCTCCCGTCCTCGGCCTGGGCCCCGCTACACAGGGCGCCCCAGCTGAGCGGGATGTGGCAGCCGGGTCAGCGCGGGCAGGGTGCATGCGTGCCGTCCCAGCACGTCTCACGGTTCCTTGCCAGCAGCTCCCGGCTCCCCCAAGCCGGCGACTGCCATGAGTTCCAACCTCAAACATTCCCCAAGCAACCTCAAAGGAAGCATCCCTGTCCAGGAGCCCCGCCAGGGTCTCCATGTGGCTCTTGGCTGCCAAGCCGCCGTCTCGGGGGCCGCAGGGCTGGCCTGGGGCTGCCAGCTCTGTTTGGTTTTCCCCTTCCTGCCCTGGAACCTCAGACGCCCGTCTCGCCACGGAGGCGCCCGGATCTGGGGAAAGGCACAAAGGCCCTACACAGTCAGGCTGGGGAGAGTCGCATGCAGGGCAAACGCGCTGCGGGCTGGATCCCGCCGCCCGTGCTCCCCCATCACGCCCACCCACGCACCTCGCTCCCGCGGCATGGGAGCCTGCATGCCCGCTGCCCTGCCACAGGCCTCCTCTGCGCCCCAGAACTGTTTAGCTGCCTCTTCTAAACCCTCATCTCTGGGTGGGATGAGCAGAGGGACCCAGGCCCTTTTTAGGGGAACACGTGTCCCCAGAGCCACGCGTGACCAGCATGCGCGCATATCCCACCTGTCACGTCCCCAAAGCAGCCTCAACCTGGGCTGAGTCTCCCGGAAGTCCTGCCCGACGAGTCCTGCAGGCTGGCTAAGCATTAACCCACCCCGCGGCGGGCCGTCCGTTGATAATGGGTTTGGAGAGACACCCTGACCTGGGTGGGCCACTCAGAGCTGGGCTCCTCCAAACCCAGATGTCCCTGTGACTCGGAACACCCCCCCCTTGGGGTGTAGAACCTTCACGAACCGAGTCCAGCCCCACCTCCCTCCCTCTGCTTCACCCAAAGGTCAGCTCAGATGGGCCAGTACCTCCTCTGCTAAGGCCTCTAGGAGGGCTCCAGATGCCCCAGTCCCAGGGGACCCCTGCAGGGGGGGCCCCCGGGCCGAGACGCCGGGTGCTTCGGTCTCGGGAGGGGCCCTCCTCCCAAGGGAGTTCCCCGACTCCTGATGGCCCGAAGCCCTGCCCCCCCTCTCCCCCCACCAAAGAGAGTTTCCCTGGTCACTAGAGGCCAAGCAAAGCCACAGGCTCCGAGCACGGGATCCAGTGCCCAGTGTCCGAGAGGAAGGCCTGGAGGCCAGGGTGGGGGCACAGGAAGTGCAGGCGTCAGGTGAGAGTGTGTGACACCTGAGGGGGGCTGCCAACCCCAACACTTGGGGGCATCTTGCTCTTTCAGAGGGAGGCCCCAAGAAACTTGGTCCTATCAAAGCATAAAAAATTCCAGTTAGACCAAAGGGGGAAGGGGTCAGTCAGCACTGCTTTGATAGGTGTCCAGCTGACAGGGAAGGCCCTCCCCCTGGGAGAGCTGGCATTCCTGACTGGGGAGGGTGCAGGGCGGAATCCAGCATAACCCCGAGGTCGGAGGGCCAGGGCCCGGAGTGAGCAGGGAGGGCTTCCTGGAGAGGTGGAGCTCACTCAGGTCTCCAAGGCCAAGTAGGATGGGCAGGGGGTGGGAGGGGGTGAGAAGGAGGCCGTCCTGCCCAAAGCGAGAGTGGAGCAGGTGGGAGGGAGCCCCGGAGGAGGTGGCTGGGGACTGGGGCTCCATTTAGGAAGGATGCCTGTCCCCCTTTCCTGGGAAAAGCAGCCTTAGCACCTGGAGGTTTTTCCCCAGCTGGCCCACAGAAAGTAGACCCCAGGAGGGACCTCCTGCCTTCTGAGGGGTGGGCACAGGAGGTCCCACCCAGGGGTGGCCCAGGCCAGGAGAGCTTCCAGAGGCATGGCACGGGGACAGGGAGAACCGGGCAGCCCTCACAGGACCTGGAGGGCTGCCCCTGGGGCACCTGCCTGCCGGGGGTTGGGGGTGGGGGCGCTTCTGCAAGTTTCCTTCAGGAGCCGGGGCCTGGAGGCTGGACGGTGGCGTAGCTGGGGCCAGTGGAGCAGACGGCGCCACCTGGTGGCGGTGTGCCAGCCGGAAACCTCACCACCACGGGGACAGGGCAGTCCTGAGGGACCCCGCACCTCCCCAGGCTTCAGGGCCCCCCATTGCTTGTGGCTGGTATGCCTAGGGATCCAGGGTCCTCTCGGGTCAGCTCCCAGGCACCCCCTGTGTTTCTGGGGCTCAACCTTCACCAGGCTGGCCTGGGAATCCCGCCAAGCCAGCAGCACCAAATTCCTGTGACTCGATGCCCACCGCACCCCAGCCAAGCCGAGAACAGGACACTAACCGAGCAGGGGTGCGGGGAGAGGCACACACATGCCCACACATGTATACACACACACATGCAGAGGCGTGCACACGCAGCCACACGCAGGTACAGGTGTGCACACGTGCGTGCATGCACAGATGGAAGTTCTGTGAAGACAAATGACAACTGACCGCACATTCTCAACTGTAAGAATCTCGACTGAAGCTATTTTAATTCCAGAGCACACCTAGACTGACATTTCAACAAATGAAGATGGGCTTTCAATCCCACAAGGGCAGCCGGGCCTCTCTGCCCTGACCACTGGGATGCTCCAGGGACCCCTGTGCGCCGTCGGTTCTCAGGCCAGCCCATGCCACCAGCCGCCACCAGGGGCGCTCTACCAGCTGACCTGGGAGTGTCCTTGGGAGGAGGGTGGGCAGTGGCCAGAGGGGCGGCTGAGACACCTGTGAGTCCCCTGAGTGCACCCCACCGCACCACAGGGGCCTCGCCCGGTGGCCGCCCAGCCAGAACCCGCTCCATAATTTGTGGGGCCCAGGCAGGAAACGTACAGCTTCTAGTTCCAAATGGTTAGAACTTCAAGTCGGCTGCAGCAGGCAGTAGAGCAAGCCGGGCCCTCCTTCTGAGCCAGGGCCGGTGCACAGGCCGCCTTGACGTCCCTTCATTGCGTGTGTGGACTCCCCCGGCCTGGCCTCTGCCCTGCTGCGAGCCTCAGATGGCTTTTCCTCCAAAGACCTCAGGGGGACAAGACACGCGCGTTTGCGAGGGAAGGGGAGGCCGAGCTGGGGCCTGGGTCCCCCGCTTTGAGCTGTGGTCCCTCCTGCAAACAGGTTGGCTTGGTGCTGGCAGTGGGGCATTTATGCTGTGTGCATGGGGGCTGGGGTGGGGTCTCTGAGATCACGGTGGGGCTGCTTCGGTCCCTCCCCACGCTGGCATGCGGGTGGGCAGGGAGCGCAGAGGGGCAGGAATCGGGCTCTGGTGCCTGGTTATTCCTGGACTGGGGCCCGGGCTTGGTCCTTGTGACCTGGCTGCCCGCGCTCCTGGGAAGAAGGGCGGCCGGGGGAGGCTGAACCACAGAGACTAGCCGTGGGCCCGGGGTCCCAGCGTGCAGGCTGAGCGGGTCCTTGCCAGGCGCGCTCCTCCGGGGGCCCCAGGGTGCAGCCGAGCCGGGCCCACCCTCCTTCCCACCCCGAGCAAGCAGGCGGAGCTCTGAAGGGCAGCGGGGCAGGTAGTAGGCAGGAATGTTCTGGCCGCTCCCAGCTACACCCACCCCTGCCTGCCCCCACCTCACCGTCCTCCCCGGGAGCCAGGAATGCACCTTCAGCCCGGACTTGCTTGCACGGAGTTCCCGCAGGCAGCCGACCCCCACTCCTCAACCCTCCCGTCCCCCATGACCCTAGCAGAGCCCCTACCCCTCAGGGCCTCCATCCCCAGGCTCCCAGTTGCTCCAGGGCCAGGACCCCACATGTAAACACTCTCCACCTATGTCAGTGGCAAACCATGGTGGGCCCGAGGTCGGGGTGGGGGTGCCGGGATGGGACCCCAACGGCGACCCCCAGGAGGGCCCAGGGTCCAGGGAGAGAGGTCAGGAGGGAGGGGTCTTCCTGGAGGGAGAGGCCCTGCGGGGAGGAGACGGAGGTCTCCTCCGCGAGGCCTGGCCCGCCTGGCTGGGCGCTAGGGGACGTGGTAGGAAGCCAGGCCTGCAGCAGCTCAGCCCGCACCTTGGCCAAGGCCCAGCGCCCCCCTACCGTCGGTGCCATTCGGAGCCCTCGCCCCGGCCGCCCCGGGCTGCCTCCTTGCCCAGGCAGACTGAGCTGGCTTCTGCTGGGCAGATGGGAAGGTTGGCAGGGGCCCAAGGGGCCACCCTCACAAGTGACCTGGCTGCCCCGGCCGTTTGCTCCAGGCCAGCAGTGAGAGGAGATGAGTCGCCCCCCAGGCCCCCACAGCGCCCGGGCCCCGGCGGGCTCCACGGCTCTACCCGGGCTCATTCCGGACCTGGTCGCCCGGATCCCTTGTGAGTTTTGGGACCTCTGGAAGGGGAGTGGGGATGGCCTGGCTGGGTGGGTGGCAGCCGCTGTCCATGGACGCCTCTCAGGCCCATCTCTGTGCTCCCCCCGCCCCGCCCCCAGGACTCCGCTGGGCGCTCATAGCCACTGCGGCTGTGGCGGGCGTCCTCGTTGTGTTTCCTGCCTGCTCTGTGCCTGCTGCTGCTGCCGCGGCCGCCACAGGAAGGAGCCCAGAGACGAGGAGGCCGTGGGCCTGGGCAGTGCCCGCAGCACCATCAACACGCACCTGGTGAGAAGTGGGCACCCAGCTGGGCCAGTGCCGGGAGGCAGCCCAAGGTCCAGGCTCGGGGGCGAGCTCAGCCCCCAGCATGGTCTGGTCTGCCCAGAGCGGAGGCGGGGGGGGGGGGGCCGCCTGGCTGGCGAGGCGACGAACAAGGTGAGGGAGGGCGTGGGCTGCGGGAGCCACAGCAGTTCTGGAGGAGGGCAGTGGCAGAGAGGTGGACTCGGGGCAGTTATGGCCGGTCCCGCAGAGCTGAGCTGGGATGTGAGCCCTTCTGGTGCCCTGGCCTGGAGGTTTGACCCATCATGGACCCGCTGCCTGGGACGCCGGGGCTCTGATGGGGGCACGGTCCCAGCAGCACCTGTCGCCAGCCCCTGTGATACCGCCCGGGTGCAGCCAGATGTGGATAAGGTGGAGCCTGGCCCTGGGGGGCCCCAGTAGTGGGAGTGCCTGCAGCTGTCCGTGGAGTACGACTTTGGAAGCCAGGAGGTGAGGGGCCCCGAGGACGTGCGGGATTTTGGAGGGGCGATGGGGGAAGAGTGGGCACTGGGTGCTGGGTGGTGCGGGGCTGACCAGGAAGGGGGCCCTGGCTGAAACACCCCCTGGCTCCTAGATCAAGGTGGGCCTCAGGCAGGCAGTGGACCTGAGGCCCCGGGGCCCAGGCGGCACGGCGGACCCCTATGCCCGCGTCAGCCTCTCCCCTGAGGCCGGGTGCAGGCACGAGACGAAGGTGCACCGTGGTACCCTCTGCCCCACGTTCGAAGAGACCTGCTCCTTCCACGTGAGTCGGGGCTGGGTGGCCAGGGGCCTGGGCCGGGCAGTGGGGGCCGCTCACACCCTTCCCCGCAGGTCCCCCCCGTGGAGCTGCCCCAGACCGCCCTGCGGGTGCAGATTTTAGACTACAAGCTCTTCTCCCAGCACGAGCTGCTGGGCGTGCTCAGCCTGCCGCTGGGCACCGTGGATCCGCAGCCCGTCCTGGAGCTCTGGCACCCTCTGGGCCCGCCCAGCACTGCGAGGTGAGCCTGCTGACCCCCGGGCTCCAGTCCCGCCCTGCCCGGTGTGCCCGGCGGGGAAGCTGAGGCCCTTCTTGCTGCCCGCAGCCCGAGCAGTTGGGGGAGGTATGCTTCTCGCTCCAGTACGTGCCCGGCTCGGGCCGGCTGACCGTGGTCGTGCTGGAGGCCCGAGGCCTGAGCCCAGTTCTGGCAGGCGAGAGCCGGACCTGCCCCTCCACATGGATGGAGGGAACCCTGTGCTCAGCCCTCAGACCTGGGACACCCTATGACTCCTTTCACTTGCCCAGAGCCCTACGTGAAGGTCCAGCTTGTGCTGAACCAGAGGAAGTGGAAGAAGAGAAAGACATCTGCCAGGAAGGGCATGGCCACCCCTTACTTCAATGAGACCTTCACCTTCCTTGTGCCTTTCAGCCAGATCCAGGTGGGCTGCCTGGAGGAGGGGGCGGGTGGAACCTCGCTCAGGGCCAAACTGACGTCTATCTTTCTCCCCCTCCCACCGCACCTCTGCCTGCCTCTACCCAGAGTGTGGCTCTGGTGCTGGCCGTCTGGGTCTGGGGCCCTCAGTTCCAGGCCAAGCCCGTGAGCAAGGTTCTGCTGGGCGCCCGGGCCTCTGGTCAACCCCTACAGCACTGCGCAGACATGCTGGCCCATGCCTGTCGACCCAGCACTGCCTGCAGCCGGCCAGGGAGGTGGACCGGGCCCTGGCCTTGCAGCCCCACCTGCGCCTGCCCTTGGCTGGCTCCTGAAAGCAGCCCCGGCCCTTGGTCTCCCTGGGCTGGACCACGGGTCCCGTGCAGGCTGCCCTGGGGGCCCACCATAATAAACGCCTTCTCCCCCATGGCTGTGCGTCCTTCCTGAGCCCCGTGGACACAGCAGGGTCAGGGGCTCCACCGACATCGCCAAGGACAAGGAGAGGGTCTCCTCTCCAGGCTCAGCCAGGCCCTGAGGGCTCTGACCCATGCCTGACCCCTGAGTGAGGGTGAAGGGGCCCTTCCTGGCCCAAGGGGGGACGATACTGGGAGATGGGAAGCCCTCCCCATCAGTAGCAGCTGGAGAGTGAGGGATGGGCCCCTGGGGACACAGTGGGCAAGTGGGAGATATTTGGGGGACGGTGACAGTGGACAGAGAGGAACCCAATCACAGGGACCACCCCAGTGCCCGAGGGGTCCCCAAACCCTCCAGATGGTGACTGAGGGGCGTCCCCTTCATGAGCAGCAGGGGGCAGTAGATGCCTTCAGAAGCCGCCCCAGGCCTTTGGGGGCTCAGCCTGGCCCGGAAAGCAGCTCTAATCCCCGCACATCTGGACGGCTTTAGCTCTCCCTGACCCTCCCCATGGCCTGAGAAGCCGGCAGGGCTGGGGCCATGCACCCCAGCTCAGAGGGTGCCAAGTCATGGTTATCCGGATGCCTCTGCTGGGTGGGGGCCCGGGCAGGGGGCGCAGGGCTGGACCGGGGTGAGAAGGGCAGTGCCGGGCCTGCCTGGGGCAGCCAGGCGGGCCCCAGGCCCCCTCGGGTCAGGGAGAGGTTCCCAGGTGGGTGGCGCCAAAATCCTGGGTTTGAAGGATGTGTTCCGAGCTGTGCGGGGAGCTGGCCCGCGGGCAGGGTGGTCCAGGCAAGGCTGCACGTCCGTCCAGGCACCCCCCATCCTGCTCCTGGGTGGGAAGCTGGGATCACGCCCATGGAGGGAAGCCCTGCCCCAGAGACCCTGGCCACTGCCGCAGGCCCCAGAGGCCGTGTTTGGGGGTCCGGCCTTGCCCCGGGCCAGCTTGGGGACAGGAGGACATGGCCAGCTCATGCCTTAGACGCCTGCTGGGTTGGAGGGGGCAACAAGAAGCAGAGTGCGAGGCAGCTGCTGTTCCCCAGGGGGCCCGGAGCCCTGGGGAAGCCGAGGAAAGCAGTGTGGATCCTGACTCAGAACAGGTGGGGCTGGGCCGGAGTGACCCCTTGGCTGACCCCTGAGCTGTGCGCCGCGGCTGGCGAGGCCGTCGTCCTGTCCTCAGGCTCCTTGTAAGATACAAGGGAGGCATCTCGAAGTCATCACTGAGCCCTAAATAGACCAACCCAACCTCAGCACCGCCCCCCCCCCCCCCCCCACAACCAAGACTTCTTGGCCTGGATGGCAGCACGAGGCTGGGCCGGGCCAGGCAGCCTGGGCAGGTGGGGAGGTCCCTGTGCCCCCATTGGTCTGAGGAGGGCTCCATGCCCTTTCTGAGCAGGGGCCCAGCCTGGGGGAGGCCATTTATACCCCTCCCCCTGGGCCCACCAGCCCAACTCGCCGCGGCTGGCCTGACCCCACTCCCAGCGCTGCCGCCCGGACGCGAGGTGAGGCCGGCCCAGAGGCCGGGACAGGCACTGCTGGAGCTCGCTTGCAGGAAGACTTCCCGGGGCGGGGGCCTGGGGGCCAGGGCCGCCGCCAGCAGCCTCTCTGGGGGTCTTCCACGGAGCAGGGGGCGAGAGGGAGATGCATCCAGAGGCAGGCTGGGGTGGCGAAGGGGCCCCGGGCAGCACCCCGACGGCCAGGCCTCACCTCTGGGACACGGGAAGGGGGTTTTACGGATTGAGGGACCCCAGGCCCAACTGGCGGGTTGTTTCTTATATGCACTTGGGGCAGAAGCTGAAAGAGCAGAGCTAAAAATAACTGGTCGCTCCCGCGGCACCTGCGATGGCCGGACCGCCCCTCCCTCGGGGACAGCTGCAGCGACTCCAGGCCCGCCTGGGACATTTTGGGAACACTTTCCTCTTACTCCTCCCCTCCCCCGGGGAATTCCAAGAAGTGTCCCCCAAGGAGGTGGGGGTTGGGCGGGGCTGCGGGGGGGTTAGTGTGTGGGGCGAGGCGCTGCACCCCCAGAGCTGGGGTCCTGGGCCGGGGCCCTAACACCCCTCCCCTTTCCCTCCCACAGGCTCTAAGCCCAGGACCTCAAGATGGGCGAGTAAGTGTAGCCCCCCAAGCCCGGTGCCCCTGCTGCCCACCCCACTCCCCACTGGGCGAGGGTCTCCGCATCTCCCCGCCAGGCCACCTCCCGCCCGCCCCATCACACAGCCCCGTGGCAGGGCCCTAACCTCTCTTCTCTCTCCCTCCCCCCACCTGCCCCCCTGGGACAGTGACGAGGTGAGTACCTGCTTGGGGGTGAAACACGGAGGGGGTGGGACCCCCCAACTCAGGAGAGGGCAGAGGTCGGCGTTCCAAGGCCCAGGGAGGCCGCCCAGCCCTCCCCCTTCTGTGAAAATGCCTCACCGCACCCCCACCTCCCCCAACGGAGACACTGACAAACAGGAAGTGGCTGCCTGGAGCCCCAGTGCTCCCGGAGCAGGGGAAGTGCGGCTGCAGCCTGCTCACCGGGACTCGCTTCTTCTTTCTGATGGCTGCATCCCCTCCCCCGCCTCCTGGGCCCCGCCAGCATCCCCCTGCCGCAGAAGCACAGCCCCTTCTCCCGACCCCAGACCTCCCAACCCGAAGGGCCACCGGGGCAAAGGGTCACCGTGCAGCGCCGTGTCCTGGGCCCAGCCTCCCCTCCAGGCCCAGGCCCAGCCGCCCCTCGGGCAGGACCCCCTGGCTGGACGGCTGAGCCCCGCCGACCCTGACTCTCCCTCCTGCATCTTCTCCCTGCCCTGCAGAAGCGCAACAGGGCCATCACGGCCCGCAGACAGCACCTGAAGGTAGGTGCGGGCCTGGGGAGGGCCGCCCGGGGGGTCTGCAGGCTGGCGTGCCGCAGCCCCTCACCACCGCCTACCCCCTGCCCCCCCAAACCCCCCAGAGCGTCATGCTCCAGATCGCGGCCACGGAGCTGGAGAAGGAGGAGAGCCGCCGGGAGACGGAGAAACAGAGCTACCTGACTGAGCACTGCCCGCCACTGCACATTCCCGGCTCCATGGCTGAGGTGCAGGTACCCAGGCCCCCACCCCGCCCACCCGCCCGCCCAGCAGGCCCTGCTCACCGCCCCGTCTCCCCCTCGGTCCAGAGGGCAAGCAGAGTGGTCAGGGCGGGCGGAGGCCACCCCCCCCCCCCCGGGGCCCCCCCCCCCCCCCCCCCCCCAGGAGCTCTGCCAACAGCTGCACGCCAAGATCAACGTGGCCGAGGAGGAGAAGTACGACATGGAGGTGAAGGTGCAGAAGAGCACCAAGGAGGTGAGAGGCCGGGGAGGCGGGCACGGTGCGGGGGGAGCCCCGACCGCGAGGTCTCGGCCTCCGCCGCCTCCCGCCCAGCCTTGCTGCCCGCCCCGCAGCTGGAGGACATGAACCAGAAGCTGTTCGACCTGCGAGGCAAGTTCAAGCGGCCCCCGCTGAGAAGGGTGCGCATGTCGGCCGACGCTATGCTCAAGGCGCTGCTGGGCTCCAAGCACAAGGTGTGCATGGACCTCAGGGCCAACCTCAAGCAGGTCAAGAAGGAGGAAACCGAGAAGGTAGGAGGGTCCCCACCGCGCGCCCCGCCTGCCGGGCTGGCTCAGACCCCACCGCGCACCCTGCCTGCCGGGCCGGCTCAGATCCCGGATGGGTCTGCCAGGAGGGGACTGGGAGGGGAAGTGAGGCTGGAGGCGGTGGGCCTGAGCCCTCTCCCGGTGCCCCTGCAGGAGCGGGACCTGCGTGACGTGGGAGACTGGAGGAAGAACATCGAGGAAAAGTCGGGCATGGAGGGCCGCAAGAAGATGTTCGAGTCCGAGTCCTAGGCCGCCGCCGCCCGCTCCCGCCCGAGGCCCTCCGAGTCGGGCTCAGCTCCTGTCAATAAAGGATTCCAATCCCCGACTGCTCTGCTCTCCTCGGGCTGGCCCTGCCCCAGCCTCTCTGCCCACGGGCCGCCGTGCGAAGGCCTCTGAGACCGGGGACCCTGGGCTGGAGGTGGAGGAGCCACACACGAGCTTCGGGGGGCTTCGGCTGGGCTGGGAGGGCCACTGCCAGGGCAGGGACCCCACCCACCCGCCTGCCGCCTGCCGCTGCTTGGTGATGTTGGTGTCAGACCCTGGAAGCTTGGACACAGGTGCCCGGGGCCGTGTCAGAGCCAGTTCCCTAGATGACCATTGGTCCACTGTCACTGTCACCATGAAGGTCCCCACAGGGCCCAGAGACCCTGTCCCTGTGGCACAAGTCCAGGCAGGGGCCTCGTGGGCCTGTGTCCCGTGCCCTGTGGGCAGCCCCTTCCTCCCAGGCTGCTCCTCCCCAGACCCCCCGCCCCCACCACCAGGGGGCACGCGGGGCAGCCCTGGATCAGCTGGCCCTCTGGGGAGTCTTGAGCGCATGGGGCGGGGGCACGCCGGGTAGGGTCCGTGCTCCCACTGGAGACTGATGACAGGCCCAGTTGGCCTGACACCGGGCCCAGTGAGAGGGCTAGCTTCTCCCTTCTGCACAGCCCCCGGCCCTGGCCCACGCCACACATCAAGGGACGATGTGCCCGACAGGCCCAGACACAAATGTCACAGCAAGGCCGCCGTCAGCCTCCTCTGTGAGGGATGATGCCGTGGCCCGCCAAGGTCCTGCGCTCAGATCTTTGGTGGGGAGCCCGGGGAGGCCAGGCTGCCGCCCCTGATGGAGTGGCTGTCCACCCTGCCCTTGCCCTCCAGAGGCCCCAGCGATTGATGTGCCGGGGCCGGAGCCTTGAGCCTCAAGGGACAGACGTCAGCCTGCCCCGCCGGCCTTGGCCAGTGTACTGTTCCCCGGCCCAGCGGCAGCCCAGGGGTCAGCTCCGTCCTTCGAGCAGCTCCCCACAGGCCCTGGCTGCGCTCGTCAGGCCCTCGGGCCCAGGCCTGGTGCCTTGGCTGCCTTTCCCGCTCACGGATGCAGGGTAGAGGGGACCCCTCGACGTTCCTGGCTGAGGCTCAGCCTGTGCGGAGTCCAGAGCAG